TGCACACACAGGCGCGGACACACACACACACATCACACACACACACACGGGTGCGACACGAGAGCCCTTCAAAGGCAAACCTGTCAATGGGCCGGCTGTCACCTCCCTCCTGTGGCGCCCCGGCTGTGATTGATAACTCCATCTCTCCCATCCTCCCTCCTTTTCTTGCTTCTGTGGTTCACTTCCAGCTAGTCTAAACAGAAGGACACACAGACTCAGGAGATAGATGGCAATGAAACATACATGCAATTCTTCTTTTATGTTTTTCTGATGACAATCAGGGCTCCGCAGCTCCTACTTGGTATGCTCGTTTTAGAAACCTGAGCAGAAAGGCATGAGGGGGGGAAAAAAAAGTACTTTTGTTTAAAAATGTTTTCAAAATAACGTGTAACAAAATCCAGCAGGACATAATAATAACTCACTTATTTTGAAACAAGTACAGAAACATAACCTCCAGCTCATACCATTCATATTTTGGCAAACAAATATTGATCTTTAACTTTACAAGCTCTTCTAACACTCTGCTGGGCCCTCTCTCTCGCACGGCACACACGGCGATCAAAAGGAAGGTAGAAAGGAAGAGGGAAAAAAGGAATGAGAAACTCCTGGCAGCAATAAAAGTGGGCCATGAAAACAACACAGAGATGAGGAGGAAGAGAGAGAAATGGGTATTCTTAGAAATGCGTACTGGGAAAGTGTATATGGAGGAGATGCAGGGAAAGAAGTGATGGAGAGAGTGAAAGCGGGTACAAAAAAAAAAAAATAAGTGGGCACATCAGAAAAAAGCCAGACTGTAAGACCGACACAAACGGAAAAACAGCCAGAAATACACAATGGATTTTAACATGTACTGAGCCGGCTGTAAAGCTCTTTGAACTGAGGCGGAGGATGACCGCGTTTCTTTCCACAGCTGTATCCAGCAAACCAGCCATGGAACTAGACACCACTGTACCAAACCTCAGATCTACAGCTGGGGGTCTTAAATACTTCACTCACATATGTGCACATACACATTTTTTTTTTTTGCCTTCTTTCTCAAGCTCTCTGACATATGTGCACATTTAAACACACACAGGGCCTTTATTTGTAGCACAAAAATTGAATTTGAGCATTTTTGAAAGCCCACAGCAAATAAAGGGCTATTTTTATACACCCGGATGGGATTTTATTCCATTCCAATGACCTCCTACCTCATACTGTCCAGCCATCTGCTAGCAGAAAGCATGGAGCCGACCCTGCTTTCCATTTCATGTCTACCATCTCTCTCTCTTTTTTTTTTTCTACCCGTTCTAAACTGTTGTTTATCTCGGGATGTAGTGGTTTTGGTTTTGGTTTGCACATATCCTTTTCTAAATCTCAGCCATTGTGTTGACAGCAGTTTGAACTGCAGTTTACAAAAGTGCACTGCGTTTGAAAGTATAGTAATCTAGACCGATGATTGGTTCCCTAATGAATAGCGTAGGTTACCACAAATAGCTTTGGTCTGACCAGCCAAATGTACTGCACAGCCTCGTCATTGTGGAGTGTGGGTGCGCCCACGTCCTTGCATGTGTTAGGTTGTACTTTCTGATAATTTTATCTGTGTGTGGGTACAGTTGGGGAAATTTTAGCATTTGTACTATCTTTGCTGCAACAGTATATTTTTTTGTCAGGTGACAGGTGTAAGATCCAAAGCAGACAAGATTCTTTCAGATTTAAGTTTTATCAGCACACCACTGCCTCCCTTCCTTTCCAGCAAAGATTCCTTTGTCTGCATATCAATGCACAGTGTTGGGATAAAACTTTATTCTCTTTATCTAATGTGCCCTCTCTCTCTTTCTGTGGGTCTCAGGTCTCTAAAGTGAACGGGCTGACGCGGGCAGGCTCGGCACAAGCTGTCAGTGGTGCCAAAAAGAGCCGCGACTTCCGACTGCCGTCCAAAACTGTGAAGAAGTACACAGCCACCGTGTCCAAGGGCCACGTCACCTACACCAAAGCCAAACAGAAAGAACTGGGCAAGAAAACCAAACTCAGCAGCAGCAACAAACACAACAGCGCCGCCTCGGCACCATCGTCAGCGAACAATCACAATCAGCACAGCCAGCCAGCAGCCAGCAATGGGCTGGCCAACTCAGGAAAAGCAGCGGCACCAGCCCACCACAGCAATGCAAAAACCCGCAAACAGGTGCTACTATCCAATGGGCTGCACAATGTGGCTGCCAGCCCCCGACTCAACGGCAGGCTAAACGGGCAGCGGCACAACACCTTGGCCAAGGAGGACGGGCAGGGGGAGTGTCCAGGTCGAGAAGGGCTGCGTAACTCTAAACGGCGTCTGGAGGTGGTGCTCAACTCGGTGGGGACAGGGGTTGTTGAGCAGAAAGCCAAAACAACTGGCACTGAGGCCAAGAAGGCCAAGCTTCAGACCACGCCTCTGGAGACGCGCAGCAGCAGCAAGAAGGTGGCCAATCAAGAGAAAGCTACCACACAAAACACCACCCCCACCACTCCAGTTTCTAATGGACATGAATCAGAAACGACCCCTTCTCCTAAACAAACTCAGCCTGTTACCCTACTTCCACCCTCTACTCCCCCTCCTCAACAAACCCCACCTCCTTCTACACCAGCAGCCGGTGTGGAGCCGGTGAACCAGCGACCGAAGCGGGCATCGGCTGGCAAGCTGATGTTGATACGACAAGCACAGCAGCAGCAGAGCAGGTCTCACGGTCGGAGCTCCTCCTCTTCCTCCCCCTCATTAGGCCAGAATCACTCGCCGAATCCCAGTCGTGCCAGCACTACCTCAGACCCCCAACAGACCTCTGTGTCCTCGTCCTCCTCCACCTCCTCTCATCTTACTTCCACCAACAGCCCTGGACAGCTCAAACCAGCAGCATCGCGGCCCGCTGACCGCGACAAGGACTGGGAGCGTGAGAAAGAGATGACGCGCCAGAAGGAACGTGAGCAGGAGAAGGAATGGGATCGCCAGCGGAGCAAACCAGAGGGCTGGGCAGCGCTGGGTGAGGGCCCTGTCTTCCGGCCAGCTCAGAGGGAGTTCCAGGACCCCCTGGTGTACTTGGATGCGGTGAGGGAACAGGCCGAGGTGGCTGGCATGTGCCGCGTGGTGCCCCCATCAGACTGGCGGCCAGAGTGCAAGCTGAGCGAGGAGATGCGCTTTGTTACACAGGTGCAGAGGGTCCACATGCTGGGCCGGCGCTGGGGCCCCAATGTGCAGCGTCTGGCTTGCATCCGCAAGCACCTTAAATCTCAGGGCATTACCATGGATGAGCCACCTGTCATTGGTAAGTGAGCCAAACAGACACACACACACACACACACGTATATGTGAATGTACATAAGACACAGTTTAGTCAACAAAAATGCTTCCTGTGTTGCTTAAATTAACTAAGCAATAAGCCATAGGTTTCTTCCTGCAGGCTGCCACAGAGGACCAGAGCGATTGATTTTACAGGAGTGAATTAAACTCAGACACCCAATTTCAAACTGAGGCCCCTCTTAGCCTTGCGGACAGTCATGGTTGTTTCTCTTTGATAGCTGTATTTGAAAGTAAAGACATAAAGATGATAACCTTGATTCTTCACATCATAATAAGATGAAGGATAGTTTCATTAAACTGCAGTTTACATTCTCAGTTTCCTGCAGTGTAACTGTGTTTTGTCGCTCTTTCCGGACTCTTTAAAGCCATGAAAGAAAGCAGCCCTTATGTAAGTGTCGCAAATATTGCTGTTCCCATCGGCATCAGTGGTGTTCTGAAAGCTCCCGTCGCATTTCACCCCATTTTATACCCGATTCTTTTTATAGATGACAGTAACAATGTGGAACAAGTCGGCGAGGAGCCTGACGGCCAACGAAAACAATATTTCTCCCAGATTGCCCTGTCACCTTCCATTTCTCACAATGACATCAGCGTTTTATGAGCATTTAAACAGCCCCAGTTCAGGCAGATTCCGTACGTGTGAGGTTTCTGTACCCGCAAATGCTCCCACGCATGCAGATACACGGTTGTTGAAATTTGATAGTTTTACACCACTTGGTTTTATGGATTTGTTGTGCTGTGTTTGTAGCTTTTATATACAGCTTCATACAGATTAGCCCAGTGTGAGTACTGTTGGTATGCGGCTGTTAGCCAGAGAGACCTGGCAGCCAGCGATCCACAGTGGAGCGCCTTCAGCCAGCCAGGATACCCTGGTTCCAAACGACTTCCTTTACTGTCCCCAGCAGATCAGTTCTACATTAACAGTAATTTGTGCCTGTGTTTGGCACAGTGTTGGTTCAGATCATTTCTGAAAGGTGAATTGGCCGTTTCAAATAAAATGAACTGGGCTGGAGGAAATGGCATGTTTTGCCAAAGGAGCAGATGGTCCAAGATGGCAGTCTTCTTGACTTGATTTTTTGTTTTTATATAAGTGAAAATAGACGCTATCTGTAGCACACATAGCATTATTGAAACGGTTAAAATTCCAGTTATTTCAGATGTATCAGCTCTCACCGGGTTTGTATTTAGCCACATTAAGCTCACTGCTCATGTTGTCTTTGATCTGACCTTCTCCTTGTCCTTCTGCTCCCTTCAGGTGGCTGCGAAGTGGACCTGTCACGTTTTTTCCAGCTCATCAATGACATGGGCGGCATGCAGCAGGTGATGGACCTGAAGAAGTGGACCAAGCTCGCCGACCTTCTGCGCATCCCTAAGTCGGCGCAGGACCGGCTGGCCAAGCTGCAGGAGGCTTACCTCCAGTACATCATCTCCTATGACTCGCTCAGTGCTGAGGAGCGCCTCAGACTGCAGACTGAGGTGCTGCAGGAGAAAAAGAACCTGGAGTCTCGCCGGGGCCCTCTGGAGGGCCTCTCGGATTCCTCAGCACCTAGCGCGCTCTCTCTGCCTCGCTATGAGCCCAAAAACGGGCTGGTGGGTGGAATAATGGGAGCGGCGACGGGGCACCACCGCACCAATGGAGTTTATCACCGTCTGAAGGAGCTGGAGGCTCAGGTCAAAGCGGGCCGGCGCCGGCTCTTCGCTCAGGAAAAACAAGGCAAAGAGGACAGGCAGCATGGGGAGGAGCAGCAGGAGGAGGACAGGGGCGTTCTCAGTGACCAGCACAAATGTATTTACAAGGTGAGGATGGAGAAGACATTTGCTGTTTATGCCACACATTTGAAGCATACAGACAAGAGGCACGTAAGTGTATCTTTTCTTTTCATTGATCTTTGTTTGCTTTTCTGTTCTTTTCTTTCTCATGATCTTAAGACACTAACTGCTGTTAAATACTTAATGAGAACTGTCTAAAGGTTAACAGTTGAAGTTTGCAGTTTGCCATCTTTGCATCATCAGTAGCACTGAGGCGTGGAACCATTTATGGATGTTGCTTCTTTACCGGTCGGCCTGCCTCGTTACCCTTGTTTTCATTTTTATCAGCTAAATAATTACTTGTCAGAAAGACACTTCACAGGTCTTCTTCATTTATTTTGTTTGTTGGTATTCTGGCATCCATTAACGGGTTTGTCTTTAGCCCTTGAATCAAACATGATTCACACTGTCTTGTTCATGCGGTTAATGCCTGTGTGATTCTACCTGTTGTCGGTGCTTGAGCGCTTCAAAGGCGTTATTACTGCTCAGTCAGATTTCTGCCATCTCACTACTATCTGAATCAAGTCTAACGTTGCACATGAAGTGTTAAGAGTCTGCACCTTTCATAGACTTGCCACAAAAATGTGAGTGTTTTGATATCTCTGTGCCAGCTGTTGAGTAAAATATGCAGCCTGTCTTCCTCTTCTGCTCTGAACTGTTACAGCACACGGTGACTGGGTTGCACTTAGGGAGAACGCGGCTGTGGTGTTTAAAGCAAAGATGTTAATGCCTATTCAAATTCCTTTTCTGCTCTTGGTATTATCATGCCTCATAGTTTGTGGTGTGTTAAAGCAAACTTAAGACGTTTGCACACCTGCGTACATGCAGCAGTACTTGTGCAACTGTAAAGTTCTGGTTTCTGGTGTGAGAGTGAGGGACAGCAGCTTTTGTACCTTGCACGTCCTGTGGTTTTGTTGAATATTTCTATGCATCTGTGTGTGTGTGTGTGTGTGGTGAGGTGGTCAGTAGTCTTTCTTGTGTGTGTACACACTCAGGATGTGTTCCCACCTCCTCGGCCTACTGGCAGCTCTGTTGATTTTGGCTGGCTGAAATGTAGGTCAGAGAAAAGGCAGCCCCCAAAAACAGCCCTTCCCCTCAACCTCTGCCCCGCCCCCTTCATAAAGCCCCGCCTCCTCGAGCCCTCGCCACCCCTCGGCTCCTTTTTAATCCAGCCCCCTCTCCCCATGGTTTCTCTCCTTCAGCCGATGTCCTTGCTCTTAGCCATTTCTCAAATCTCCAGGCCTTTCGCCGGCCCTCGCTTTCTCTCCAAACCCGCTCCCTCATGCACCATCCTCCTGCCAAACCCTCTGCCAAGCTATTGTACCCCCAGCCGCAAGGGTAGCGGTTCATGCACATGTAGAAATGCAGCTCCCATTGTGTCATGCACGCTGCATGCACAGAAATCTGCTCCATGATGGTGTCTGAGTGCATGTATTTGGCCACCGCCTCTTGATGAGGTGAAACAGTAACTGTTTTTGTAATTAAGATAACTTTGGTTCCGCGTTGGCTCTCTCTCACGCTGCACTCCACCCATCTCAAATCTGGATCTCATTTGATTTTTTTTTTTCTGTCCTCCTCCCTCCCAGTTTCTTTGGTAACTAAATCCCTCTATATGACCTCCCTCTGAAGAGCTGAGATATTGTCAACAGACGTGACCCTGTACAGTCCATAGAGCTCAGAGTTATGGAAGGACTATTCAGCGTCGTGACATGTGAATGGCTGTCACCATCCTGGCAGGGCAGGCCTGTCAAAATATGACTCATCACTTTTCTGCCCAGCTCAGATTTGTATGCATTTTTCATCACAAGTGGCCCCCAAGAGGAGGTTAAATTTCACTTTTTCTATCAAGAGAACAAAGTGCATGTCATGGGTGTAATTAACTCTAATTATGCCAGGAAAAGCTCCGAAAAGCGCTGCTACTGACTGAGAAAGAAAGTCTTGTCAGCGCTTGCAAGGTTACCATTATTTAGCTGCATTATTTTACAACCCTGCAGCTCGTGCGGTCAGAAAAAAAAAGAGATCTGTCCCTATTTGAAAACATCTGGACACCTAAGGAAGAAAAAAAAAAAAAGAAAGAAAAGAAAGACAAACCGTCACTTTGAGCATTAAGGTATCCATAAGGTCATCTTTCAGCAGGCTCTGTATATCTCCAGGCCTGGAGCTGGCAGATTTATGGTCCCTTTCAGAGATTCTCTGCAGCAGGAGTGTCCATGGGAGAGAGGGTCAAATCCAGGGGAAGTGTGTCTGAGACTAATAGGAGGAGGAACAGAGGTGCAGCCGTGTAGAGACGCACACAAACACATGTGCATGTGATACATTTGTCTGCGAACATGCATAGGATCTTTTGCCCATAATACTTTCCCTTTGAACTTCATGCAAACACGAGGTGGGGGAGAGGAGAAGTCACTGATGTCCAAGCGGTGTTTTCTTTGCTCATTTTTTATTCACATTCCACTCCTGGTTCCCTGTAGTTGCTTTTCCATGACCGAATACTATAAATATTTAGAGTGCAGTTTTCTCTCCTCGACGTAGCTTTTCTGTGACTCACGATGTTTCATGTCTCCTTGTTGCAGGGGAAATCGGTGTCTTTGACCAACTTCTTCAGGATAGCCCGGAACACCATGACAATGTGCTTTAACAAGGAGCCAGGAGCTGCTGAGGTTGAGGTCAGCATGCGAACGCCTTAATCACACACTTGTACTGAATGTAAACTGTTCTCTCTGCAGTAGCTTTTAGTGGTTTGACTCAACAGGATGCACTTCAGTACTTTAAATGGAACATTTAGTTATTGCCATATAACATTCATTCACCTTCGCTCTAACAGAATAATTCAAAACTCGTCTTCTTCTAGACATTAGCGAGCAACATGTGTGCAGGTATAAGTTACTGTGAGGCAAACCTGAAGCTTGCACCATGTTTCATGCATTCCTGCACTCATCAGGTTTCCCTTTTTCCTCTTGCAGCAAGAATACTGGAGGATCGTGGAGCAGAGGGACAGCCACGTGGCAGTGCATTGTGGGAAGGTGGACACCAGTACACATGGCAGTGGTTTCCCCACAGGAAAGTCAGAGCCATTTTCAAAGTAAGCACCTCATGTCTACCTAACATGTTTGGACAAAATATTCTGCGAGTGTTGTAAGAGCGTAGTGTTGACCTGTTATCTAGAAGATCACTGCTAGAGAGTAACTCTGTCCGCTTCCTGAAGAGTAACCATCCAGGTGTTATTGAGCCGTCTCCTGCTGGCGCTCAGTCTCAGAAAGCCTCAGAAATGACCCGTGCTTTTGCCTTTTTCCTCAGACATGGATGGAACCTCACTGTCCTCCCGAATAACTCTGGATCCATACTGAGGCATCTGGGTGCTGTGCCTGGTGAGTGCACTTAGAAAGGCTGTTTCATGTCGTGTAAAGCTGGCAGCAGCTCAGCAGCAAACTACAGATAAAAAGAGCTGCAGATGGCTCTACTTTTGTTGAGACATGTTGTAATTTTTAGTGTTTATTCCAGGAAAAAATGCAAATAATAGATGTCCTGTGTGATTTGCTGTTATTAATAAACTTGTTTCTCTTTCTCAATCCATCTCTTCTCTGCAGGGGTGACCATTCCCTGGCTAAACATTGGCATGGTCTTTTCTACCTCATGCTGGTCTCGAGACCAAAATCGCCTTCCATATATTGATTACTTACACACTGGTGCTGATTGCATTTGGTGAGTATGCACACGGCTGTTTCCTCACAAAAGCTTTTATGTAAATATAGAAAAATATGTAAATATATACCACACTGCAGTCTGAATGTGATGGCTCTGTGTGCATTCAGGTATTCTGTCCCTGCTGAGGAGAAGGCTAAGCTGGACAAGGTGGTCCATACACTGCTTCAGGCCAATGGCACCCCAGGACTAGAAATGCTGGAGAAGAATATCATGGTTGGTATCTGCAGTCTGTCCCTCTTTGTTTGACATGTACTAATCACATTTTTTGTGTTCTGACTCTGTGAATCCACTTCATCACCAAAAGTACGAGGCTACAGAAACATGACACCGTCTCTTTCTCTTCCTCTCTTTAATCCTCCAGATCTCTCCAGAGGTGCTTTGCCGTGAAGGCATCAAGGTTTACCGTACGGTCCAGCGGAGTGGCCAGTTTGTGGTCTGCTTCCCCGGTGCCTTTGTCTCTAAAGTGTGCTGTGGCTACAGCGTGTCAGAGACGGTGCACTTTGCCACACCACACTGGATGAACCTGGGTTACCAAGCCGCAAAGGTCAGCATATAAATCAGTAACGAGCCGAGCAGCGCCCACCGAGGCCGTCCGCGTTAAATTAATAATGACAGATTTTGCGCGATAGTTGTTTGTTTTGTTTCGCTGCAGCTTTGTAATTCCTCACAGCTCTGGCCCCGGTGGACTGCGGCAGATAAAGCTCTGATTTATGTGGAGTTGAAACTGAAATGAACTTAGAACCTAGAGCCTGATTCTCTAATCAGTCGGCATCGTTGAACTTTAACGAGTAATTGCAGGCGTACGTCTCCTTGGGGGGTGTATTTAGATTTTTTTTTTTTGTGATCATGAGCAACCCTTTGGACCATTAGACCTCATTATAGCTGTAATAGAAGAGAAGAAAATGTTCCTTACTGTCATTATGGGCATTACGGTGATGGAAGTGCGTATACCTTCAGCATTACCATCATATTCATAGCCACACCAAGATTGTCCTCAAGGGTAATATGACATTCATACAATGTGCTGCACTGCCTGAAATATTTTCCTCCAAATAACAAACATTTTTACAGGAAATATAGATCTGAGCCTACAGAGTCCTTGGTTGTGTGCAAACTATTGGATTGTTAGACGCTGAAGGACATTGTTGGAGCTCATCGGTCCACACCTTGTACAAATACCTATCACTGTAAATGTGTAAAGCACTGAAAGATGGACAAAAATCGTTCAATAAATGACTGATGTTTTGGGGAAAAAGCGTTGTGTTTTTGATTTTTCTCCTCAAGATGTGTTAATAAAACTGTCTGCAAGCGATTCAATTACAATGAAATAATCAGTGATCTGTTCTGATTTCTCGTACAGGACCTGAAATGTCGTTGTATAGCCAAACCCTTCTCCATGGAGAAGCTACTGTATCAGATTGCCACAGCTGAGTCCAAGAGGGACAACGGCCTTCTCCTCACCACCATCTCCGCCCTACTCAAAGACCTCAGGCACGTAAAGCACTGCACACATTCACAAGAGTGACGTCACAGTAAAGATCTGCATCTCGAAAGCTAGTTCAGTCATCAGAGACCCTTTTAAAAGCAGAAAAAAACTGTATTATGCTTTTAGACATTTTCCTACTCTTTCAGTGTGTTAAGTGTTTCTGTGCATGTAAAATGTCTGCAAAGTCCATATTGAAGGGAGTTATTCCCTCCACAGGAAACGATGCTCCTTACATGTCTGAAAAGCCTCGTTTGAAGTCGAGGCTTTTCTTCAATTACCTATTTATGTCATCTTGCGTAATACCTACTTTACAGCTAGTTTACCTGCAAAAAAATGAGCACTTTTCTCTCAGCCCCCAGTAATTTAAGACTAGAGCTGCTTCTGCCGGAGCTACGTCTCCATGTCTGTACTCATAAATCTGGGGTTACAGTGCGCTATCCAAACTTTTGAGGGATCAGTCAGGTGGTTAAACCGAGTGTCTCAGACAGACGGTGAGAACTACTTGTTAGTTATTCCAACAATAAACCAAAACTATTCTAGTAGACCCCAAAAATAATATTATGATCCTTTAAATGAGCATAATAAGGGCTCTTTGATATTTGTCTAAATCAGTTCAGCAGCTTCCTTGCTGGGCTGCAAGGTGACTCGGTGGTTAGCATCGTTGCCTCGCAGCAAGAAGGTCGACAGTTCGCGTCCCGGTGAGGACACCCGGGATCTGTCTGCGTGGAGTTTGCATGTTCTCCCCGTGCAGCCCCTGCCTTCAGCCTGAGTCAGCTGGGATAGACTCCAGCCCCCCATGACCCTAGTGAGGATTAAGCGGTGTATAGATGATGGATGGATGGAACTTCCTTGTTGCTATGTTTTGGTTGATTTATCAAGTGAATCAACCTGTTTTCTGTACTGGTGTGGTCTTTTTAAATGTGAAACTCAGTCTGAAAGTGAAACGGTACATCACAGCACGGCCATTCAAACACACTTCCTCTGCTGATTTTTTAATAGAGTCTCTTCCTGTTTTCCCGGAGCAACAACAATCATCCAGTTAACTGCACCATGATGCTTCTCTCAATAGCACCGGAGACTTCCTGGCTCCTACTTAATTAGCATCTCTTTCGCCCAACAGGAACATTGAGATGCGCCAACGTCAGGAACTTTACCAGGCAGGTTTGCTCTCCTCTGCCCGCTACGGCACACATGACGGCAGCCTGGGGCCCGGCGAGGGACGCAAGAAGCCTCGTGGCAAGTGGCTGGCACTGGAGTCCTCGGAGAGACGCTGCCAAATCTGTCAGCATCTCTGCTACCTGTCCATGGTGAGAGCAGCAGCTTAACACAACGTGACAGCTGAACATACGTGACGTGGTTTGATGTAGTTTCTGCCTTCATGTCATCATTAGTTATCATCAATTCTGCAAGAGTTGGTACGCTTTTACAGTTTGCAGGTGTTAATTTGGATTATGCCCTTTAGAAAACGTACAGCACATATAATGTACCAACTGTACCTGCTGTACATAATAACATTAACAGATTGATTTGGTGAGACTTCACTGCAGCATTTTATGTCTCAATATTTTTAAAGCATCTAAACCAAAGTGTATCAAGCAAGTGATGAAAGTTGATGAAATTTTCCAGCAATGCAGCTGAAATGAATGCAAACACACTTTTCTACTTGCCACTGGCATAAAAGAGTAGGAGTAGAAGACATTTAAATGATTTATCAGGGTTCCCACTTTCTAGGTAATAAGCTGAGCCGAGTCCCTGGTTTCTATGGTAACGTCTTTTTTTTTTTTCTTTTTCCGCGGCGTCTCGTCTGTGCAGGTGGTTCAGGAGACTGACAACGTGGTCTTCTGTCTGGAGTGTGCCCTGCGCTACGTGGAGAAGCACAAGTCCTGCAGAGGCCTTAAGATGATGTATCGATACGACGAGGTGAGCCGCAGTTCCCTCTCTGTCCAGACGGGGGAGACATCAGCCCGGTTTTACAAAGCACATCATTCACCATGACGGTGTTTATGTATCGACTCCTTCTGCCAGTGGTGTAATTCCTCGTGTGTGTGTTTCCCTTGAGAGCGATGATACGCTTAAAGTGTAAAAAAACTTAATTCCAAGGAATAATAACTGACGAGAACACGAACCGCAGAGCTCGTTTTTATGATGTCAGCTGAGAAATAACACATTTTATTATTTGTAAAATGAGCTAATTAAACTAGTTATATTGACAGATGATGTCTTTATAGGAGGGAGGCTGCAGATTTTCACTGCTTTATAACCGTGGCCGACAGATTTCACAACAAAACTATCACAGTGTAGGAAAAAAAAGTAGGAAAACAGTCGTGCTATCAGTCAGATGTATGTTTCTTTTTTTGGTACGAGTGTTTGGAGATGGAGAGAGTTCTACTGAAACTTCCACAAACTCATCTGCTCACAATGTTTGTTAGGTTTTATTTTGAAACTCACTTCCTGGTTCGCTTTAACTCAAACACATAGTCAGTTAATCTTCATCCTCCAAAGATGTACCACTGTGCTCATTGGGTTCAGATTATTAAATCTGTAAAAGCAGTGATTTTAATAAAGTAAATATATTAAGCATGTGTGATTTTGGGCTGAAAGGTAGATCGGTGGTTAGCACAGTTGCCACAGTTAGAAGGTCGCCGGTTCGCGTCCCGGTGAGAACACCCGGGATCTTTCTGTGTGGAGTTTGCATGTTCTCCCCGTGCAGTGTGGGTTCTCTCCGGGTTCTCCAGCTTCCTCCCACAAGGTCCAGAAACATGTTGAGGTGAATTGGTGATTCTAAATTGTCCGTAGGTGTGAATGTGAGTGTGCTTGGTTGTCTGTCTCTAAGTGTAGCCCTGTGATAGACTGGTGACCTGTCCAGGGTGTCCCCTGCCTTCACCCTGAGTCAGCTGGGATAGACTCCAGCCCCCTGTGACCCCAGTGAGGATTAAGCGTTGTATAGATAATGGATGGATGTGTGATTTTGATTTCCTCTTCCATAATCATTAGGCTCATGTGGGTTTCTTTCCTCTCCCTCGACATTCATTTTTACCTTTTCTTGTCCTTTGTGTGTATTCGTCTCATGTTACCTGTGCAACATAAATAAATTCACTTTTTTTTCCCTGTGCCTTCCCCACACAGGAGCAAATCAACAGTTTGGTGAACCAGGTGTGTGGACGGGCCATGTTGAAGAACGGCAGTGGAGGTGGAGGCGGCGGCGGCGGCGGCGGTGGTGGTGGTGGAGGACTCATCGTCAGTGGAGGAGGGGGGGACTCCTGCCACGGCTTAAGCCCTGCCAAAGCATCGCCGGCCAAGCGAGGCCCCCGAAAACGCGCCACTGTAGAGGTGTCCCTGGCACGCCTGTCCTCCAGCCACATACCCAAGGCGGCGGCTGTATCATGAGGCAGGCGCTTCGACACCGTCGCCACCCTGTGTGCTGTGCCCACATCCCTCCAATTCCCTCAGCTCCCTTGTTTTGTTTTTTTAACATTAAGCAGGATCACTATCAATCCCTCCTCCTCCACCACCATCCAATATTACAGGTTGTTTTTGAGCTTTGAAAAGTCCCCCATTTCCAAAAAGGCTCCCCTCTCCTTTAGTAACGACAGGCTTGTTTCTATAAAAAAAAGAAAAAGAAAATGAAAAAAGAAAAGCAAGATGTCTTTTTTGCACTAGTGTGAAAGAAGAATTTGTTTTTATTCTGGATGATTTTAGATCGCCCTCCCACTCCTCTCCCGCCCCTCCTTGAATCAACATTACAAGCATTAAGTGTCACGTTCACAGGAAGACTTGACGGGTCCTGTTTTACCCTTTACCTCCACCCTCCTTCACTGAAAGGGGTTACATTTGTTACCTTTTTCTTGCATCACTCGTTCCTGCCCTCCTCTCGCCCCTGAGACTGAACCCCGACTCCTTCTCATCACGCGTCACTCAACTGTGAACATGGGACGAATGAAAAGGCGGCCTTTTTTTCTTTTTTTTCTCCCTCCTCCCCGGTTTTGTGAAATGAAAATGACATCAAGTAGTTACCCAAAGTTTCTCTCTGTCCTTGGTTTGAGGAAGAAGAGTCCTTTTTTTTATTGATTTTATGCGTTCTTGATGCAGCTCCTGCATTTTATTTTTTTTAAAGGGGGGGGGTTGGCGATGCAAGGTAAAAACTTGAAAGACAGACGATGTTGGTTTACTGTTGGTTGGCTACGTTTTTTTGTTTTTTTTCCAAGTTCTATTTTGAATTTTAGCTTTGTTTTTGCTAGTTGTTTTTTTTTGTGAGAAGTCTTCTGTATGTTTTTTTTTTGTCATTGTGGATGTTTCTGTTCATTGGTGGATGTGAGAGGGGCAGAGCTACAGCTGCTTGACCTGTGAAAGGTCACCGCTCACCTCACTTCCTGGTCGTATGGAGGGATCCCCTCTTTGCTAGCAAGTGAAAACGGTGCCTGATACTTAGTGAGGAGATCCATTTTATTGGTGCTGTTGGTTATAATTACTGTATAACAACACAAAAGTTAAAAAATCTGGGGGGGTTAGCGCCCGCTGCCGGCTAACGGCTAGCTCACGCGCCCCCTCCCCCAACCCCACAGGGCAGAAAGGCTTCCAGGCTTTTCTGGTTCTAGATGTGCAATCGTGTTAACATTCCATTCTTCCAGTCCTCTTGTTTCATCTGTACCAGTAAACATTAATTATTATATTATATTATTATTATTATTTTTTGTTTTTTTTGTTTTTTACTTTGTTGATCTGATGTGTTATCTCAAGTAGAGCCACTAGTCAAAGAGTGTAAAATGTGAAATATCAAATCCAAGTTTGTTTGTTTTTTTCTTTTATTGTCCTTTGGGTTTTTTTTTTTTTTTGGCTTTTGCATATTTTCCCTTTTCCAGATATATTATGAGTGATTTTTAGAGAGAGGGGAAAAAAAAAGTCCAACACAAACAAACATCAACTTTTTTGTACATAATCCTGTAAATTTCTTTAAATACTTGAGCCTTTTTCTGGGGTTAAGTAAGAAAGAAAGAAAGGAAGGAAGGAATAGAGAAAAATGTTCCAGAGGAAAAGTGCTTGATGAAGAAAAAGCCTTACATTTCCCTTTCTTCATCCGTGTGAGTTTGACGCTTACAGGGTTGCTCTGGTAAATGTGTATAAAAATTTTAAGTGCTGCTTATATCACTAAGAAAGAAGATATTGAGTAGCCGACGACTGCCCCCCAACCTAGTTTTGTTTGTTTAGCTTTACTTTTTTAAAGAAAAGGGAAAAAAAAGATATCTTCACAAAAAAAAAAAAAGTGGGTTTTTACATTTTCATTACTGAAAATTCAACAAAAATGTAGTAGCTACTCATGTTGCACTGAGCTTGCCAGTGGTGACTGTCAAGGAAAAATCCTATAATCCAGTTTGTTGGTTGTTGTCCCTTGCAGAAGACTGAACTGTTTTAGGACTATTTAATGAAATACCAAGTTGGGTGTTTTCAACATAAAAAAAAAAAAAAGTGGTTGTCAAGTTTTTATGGCCTTACAATATATTTTATTCTGATGGGATTTTTTTTTGTTTGTTCTTCAGTTCTCTTTTTTTGTTTGTTTGTTTCTTCCATTTTCTACAATATAAACTACTTGCTCACAGTGGGGTCTCTGGTGACTTAATTTATTAGTGCCGTATCTCGGCCTTTCCCTCCATTCGGAAAGAGAGTCTCATGTTGGTTATATTGACAGTTTTTTACTTTTGCAGTTTGTACTTAAGGTTTAATAAAAACTTACCGACAATTCACTGTCATTTCTTTCCAACCTGCTTGTGTGTCTCTTTGTGTGCCGACGTCTGGCATCGCTGCAGGAACAGACGATGTGAACAGCCTCATCATCGAGTGTAGAAACATTAAAGGGCTCCTTTACTGAAATTACAACACTTACCTCCGCTGATAGCTACTCAATTCATTCATCAGTTGCTCTTTTGTCAACAAGAGTGTGAAGATGTATACGACATGAGGAACCTCTGGATGTTGCTGGAGCATCCCGGAGAAAAACGGGTGCATCGGCCACACCTTCAATTTTGATTTGCATTTTATTTACAAGCAGAAAGGTAGCAGACACACGGACCAATAAAGAATACCGCTGATAGCCCGTGGTAGCATTTTAAAATACCCTGAATTGCTGTGCCAACTCCAGTAACTTCACTTGTCTCTCCTCCACTCCAGTCCATGTGTGTCTGTTTTACTGTAACAGGGCAGAGAAGACACACAAAACAATGCTACCACGGGCTAATGGCTGTGGCTGGGTTACTTTTTACTGGCCTTTCTAATTGTAAATAAAACCCAAAGAGAGGGCCGAGTTGAGGCTGATGCACCACTCATTTCTATCTGAGGTGCTGATGTTCTAACATCTAGTGGTTCTAAATGTCACCGAGTCCTTGACACACACAGACCATCACAGTGAAGACAGACAGTAGAGCAAAGGAGAAAAACAGCAACAGAAACTCTCACACAAGTGCACATAAATTAGGTAAATAACAAATGAAATTGTTTTAAATTAATTTTTCTCCTGAGCCACTGGCTGAACACTCCAGACTGCACTTCTGCTTTTCTAATTTGGTGTGTGCTCATTTTCTGTCTGTCTGTGAATGCGGAGAGGGCCAACGGTTTCAAAGGAAGGGGCTCACATGCACAAACATGCACATGTGGTCAGCATGAAGCTCGAACGACAACACACCCAACAGAAGTGTGACTTTAGTCTGGTAAGGATGCCACTACCCCTCTAATAGTTGTTTGCTACAGTACTAATGTTCAAAATGTCATATATAGAGTTGTTAACTTATTTTAAATCCAAATGTGAATAGTTGTTCTGTTTTACTCTGATGCCAGTGAGGTCTGTCGACTGTCCGGAGAAGCCAGAACATTGTTTCTGGATTACTGTTGAATATTTTATATCACTCCACAGTGAATCCTATCAACAAAATTTCAAGCATTCTGCTGTATTGGGATGGAGGCATGTTTGCATGCTTTTACATATCATGGAATGTCCGTTACATTAAAACGCTTATCAACTGAGTTCACACAATGTGTTTTGAGTCGAACAGTGCCGCACAGATCTCTCTGTATTTTGCAGTAAACTGGAGTTCTGCTGCTAGAAGGGGGGTGGGGATGATCTGCACTGCAGGTTTACATGCTGGGAAAGTAAAACCAAAGCTACCCGCTGCTGCACTGCTAAACAAATACAAGAAAATGTGGACTCTGGGTGAACACACTCTTTCATGACAACACAAAAGTCAAGAGACGGCAGCGAGCAACCGTTTTCTATACGCAAAGGCTGTAAAGGTTCCTCCTCACCGTGGCATAATCCTGTTCTATAATTAGCAGCAGGATGAGGTGCGCTTTTATGTTCAATTAACACAGACCCGCTCACTGTACTCACACACAATGTGTCGGCCCCACAGCTCTTCATAACCTTGATTAAAGCGCACTGGAATGACTGTCACGCATCAACTCCGGCTACACCTATTTACAATAAACCAACACATCCACTCTCAGCCTTGAAAAGCCATTTACTCTCAGTGTAGCACTAATATTGCTTTTCCTAATTTTTCAGTTAAAAAAACAATTAAATGTGATAATGAATATGTACATGGTCAAATACTCTCCCCAAAAACAACACCTCTGTATTTCAAGACCTTTTTCCTGTCCTGCAGAATGCTCTCTACCATTGCTGTGCCTCCTCTCCGTCTGTTAGATGCTCAGGACGGACGGTAAATCAAGAGCGAAGGGCCGTTAACGTGCTCAAACCTTCAACTCTGCTCACATTTCAGTCTTGAACTTGCTCCTGGAACGCTTAGAGGAAAATTAAACAGCGCTGGGGGAGAAACATTTATTACCAACGAGTCAGAAATTGTAGGCAGAGGATAAAGAAATAATGCTGTCACATCGCACAAATGTCAACAATTCCTGACAGAAAAGGTCTGGATACAGTTAAACCTTCTGGGCGTTGTCCAGTGCATAGCACACAGTCCACAACAGGGATTTGGTCCTTGTTCAAACGGAGGAGTTCACCCAAATATTACTGATCAAAGGAATGGCAAAGGGTCACTCTCCTGCCTCTGTGTGTGTGTGTGTGTGTGTGTGTGTGTTAAATCATTGAAATCTTGATACCTGAACTTCATCAGTGTGTCTAGCTATACAGTACTGTGTTATTCACCCCACTGCCAGGTGGCTGCCGGCTGTTACACCCTGTGTATCGCTGCCAATGGCACAAAAGTATGAAATCGGTAGTTTGTTATTTAAATATTATAGAATCAAGCTCATCAACCAGTAAAAACAACGCTCTCCGAGGTTCGTGATATACACACAATTATGAAAGTTTTATCATTGCGACCTCTGCAGATTATCTGTCAGGCCCCCTCTGCTAATTATTTAGCATTTGCTAAATCGCCAATTTGCCCATAATATGAAAATACATTTTAGTCGCTCGTGTTTTGAGATATCAAAGAAATAGTTTTGGTGGCAGCTGTTGACAGAGAGGCTTGTGAATTATTTAACACCATCAGGGCTTTTTTTTCTTGGGAAGACAAGTTACAAAGATTTAATGTCATGTTTCAAAGCTGTAAGCGCTAAAAGATCTCTCGTGGGGATTGCAGTTGAAATCTCTAAGTACATATATGTGAAAACCAGAAGATACTAGTGCAGCTAAGCTAGAAAACCTACTTTTTGGGTGACAACACAAAGTCCAACAAGACTTGCTTTTAATGATTAACAACTTACATCACTTATGTGACCTGCAGTAAGATGTTTTTTTTTTTTTTTTTTAATGCTGATAGAGCTGGTGGCAAGCAGTTCCAGCAACCCCCAACACAAGCAGATGGAACACGTAGAACAGTTGCGGTCTATGAGCGCTGCAAATGCTAAAGCATTAGCATGGGACCTGAAAGGAAACAACCTCAAGGAGTCACATGGAAGATTTTAGTGTATCTTTATCGTCACTTCCTGTCTCGGGTCTCTCCCGGTCTCAACATGCACGAAAACAGAAACAGAATATTAGAGCATTTTCTGAAAATAGTCAAACTATCCATGTGCATGTTAAGCCATTCAGTGCCATTATGCTAAAGGGAACTCAAACCTGTTTACAAGATTCAATTCGAATTGAAAACGTCAGTGGTCTTTTAAGGCAAGGTCATATGGCAGTTAGTGCAACCTCAGTGTATCTTCTATCATATGTATGAAAGGACTATAAGAACAAAGCCAATATTGTTATATATCTGAGTTTGATTTGGCAGCTGTGGGTGTTTGATTCCAGTCCTACTCTCCTCAAACCTTCGGCCTGCTCTCCTCACAGTCTTTGCTGGTCTGCTCCTCTTGATCCGCCCTGTCCACCAACGCTGTGTCGGGGTGCACCTCTTCTTCGTCCAGGGTCACTACCACCGGGGCTCTTCTCCTCCTTCCTCCTCCTCCTCCTCCTCCTCCTCCTCCCACCGTTCCTCCAGCACCACCTCCTCCTTGCTCAGTCTCCTCCTCCTCCTCGTCTTCATCCTCCTCCCCGGCCTCTGTGTCCTGGCTGGCTGAGTCGGTGCAGGTGGACGACAGGGAAGAAAGCTTGTGCCGCAGCTCGGCCTGGGTGGGAACCTGGAGGCTGATCTCTGTGGTGAAGGACTCGACGTCTGGGCCTGAGAAGAACAGGATAGTTTCAGCGTTCGCACAAGCCTGTGGGGAACTGTGCCCCTTTCCTCCTACAAACCCAAACAATTCCATTATTTATTAGCCTTCAATATTTATGCGCTATCTCAGGGAAAAGGGGGCTGCAAATAAAAGGAGGGCACTGTTCAAGTTTTTGGAATTGCTTCATAGGTTCAGTTTTGACTTGCTAGAAATTGGCCAAGCTCAGTCGCCTACAGACAAAAAAAACCCCAAAAAAAAACGTAGCAGAGATTCACTAGCTTCAAATTATTTTTAGATGAGAATGAGCTGTCAGATGCTGCAGAAGCAACAAGAAGTTTCCCGAGCAGATATGGACAGATGCTGTTGGTGCATCATGTCTAAATAATGTGCTTGTCAATCTTCTGAGTCACATATTTGTGCTTCAGTGAATTGGAAATGAATTAGCTTTAGCAAGTTGTTTACGCTGAGCAAAAATATAGACGTAGCAAAATGCAAATGGTCCTCTTTTCTGAGTTAGAGGGAAAGTTCTTCAATTGTTTTAGTTAGAAAAGGCTTAAATTTAGCCAATTGTTTGCACAAAAAGCTTTTGAGCTGCCGGTGACAAATCCTGAATCACTGAGTTTATCTGCATCCCAGACCATTATTGGATAGTATGCAGACACCTTAATAACCAGTGACGAGAAAAGTTCACCCTTAAATTCAGCTTTAATGGTGCCACAGATGACAAGGCAAATACAAGACCAGCTGTTGGCATACTCAGTAAGAACCGCAGCCAGACACCTGAATATCCACACAACTACCATTTGCCATCTGAGAAATCTGAGAGAAATCATTTCAGATAGCTCTCCATAGATGTGTCTGACTATCCTGTCCCCCAAAATGTCCACCAACTTCACCGAGCCATTCAGACAGTCGGACAACTTTCCACAAGCAACCTTATTAACGCTGTGTGTCGCAGATTTGTGGCACCATGTGTTTCAAAAGGTGGACAAACTTGTTACAGACTTGTGGTTTCTCACTCTTGATCTGCTCATTATCATTTTCCAATATAGTGCTTATTTGGTCATTCACTCTGTTGTCGAGATTCCATGTTCCTCTATGTTAGAAAGGCTGCAAGGTGGCTCAGTGGTTAGCACTGACACCTCACAACTAGAAGATCCCCGGTTCGCCTTCTGGTGAGGACACCTGTGATCTTTCTTTTGCATGTTCTCCCCGTGCAGCGTGGGTTCTCTCCAGGTTCTCCGGCTTCCTCCCACACAGTACAAAAACATGTTGAGGTTAATTGGTGATTCTAAATTGTCCGTAGGTGTGAATGTGAGTGTGCTTGGTTGTCTGTCTCTAAGTGTAGCCCTGTGATAGACTGGTGACCTTCACCCTGAGTCAGCAGGCCCCCGCGACCCTAATGAGGATTAAGTGGTGTATAGATAATGAATGGATGGATGGATGGACTATGTTAAAAAGAATGGATAGAATTGAATAAAATATCACATGCTGCATTCACATTTTCGCTCAGACCTGTATGTGTGTGTTTGTGTTTGCACATGTGTTTTTCCTGTGTTGCTTCCTACCTGCGACAGGTGAAGCAGCGCTGTTGTCCTCTCCCCCAGAGTGCAGAAACACATCCAGAGCCTCGTGGTCGGACATGTCCATCAGATCCATCTGCTCCAGCATGTCCACGTTCACCTCCATGGACGACATGCTACCTATTGGCTCTGGACACAACATGGGATAGTGAGATTTTTAGCAAACACCAAAGTATCCAAAAGCAAGAGGCTGAGTCCAGGAAAAGAGTTGGGTTTCTTTTTTTTTTTTTTGGTTATTCTCTTCAAAAACAAAGGCAGAAGCAAATGAGCACAATCAAGCTGGATGGCATTTGAAATGGGTAAGCTTATGTACAATGCATTCAAAGAGCTTTCTGTTTACCATTAAACCCAAAGCATTAGTGTGGCAAAGGATGGATTGGCAGGTATTATTAGAATATCTGGGGGGAGCTATATATGAAGAAGACAAGCAACACCTACAAAACCTTTAAGCAAGCAATTTTAAAAAAGGAAGGGGGAAACAGCTAAGCCAGCACTGATCAACAAAGTCTGCCTTCAGCACCTGTAAATCCTGCACGTTACAGAGCATCTCAAGCTGGAGCAGTAATTTCCTGAAGTCTTGTTGTCGCTGGGAATCAGCGCTGACTCCAGGAAGTCACTGGACCAGACACAGTCCAGCTTACACGCTCATCTGTACAACCAGGCTGGTGTTCTACTGTTGGACAGAACCAGGACTGCTGTCTTGCTGGGGGAAGCTACCTGGCTGCTGGCTAAAGCCTTATATTGACTGGGAAAAACTGGTGGCAACAATCTTCTTACCACGAAAGCAAATAACGATATTTCCGAAAACTCTTGCTTTAAGGTATATTAGGAGACAACATCATGCAATATGCTGATTTAAACGGACAGCTGATAAGTTCCTGTATGTTCAACATAAATGCATCACGGCTGATTTTGCATCGTGCACAGTCTAGTATTGTTGTACTGATCTGATTATAAGGAGGCGCATCAGGATGCTTCGTCCAGCTGTTCTCTCTAATATGTAGCTGAAACAACATTAAAATTAGCATCTTGTTCAACACAAAACCCAAAATCAGGAAATGTTTTAATCACTGGAAACTCCTCTTGCACAGCAGCTAAGTCACTCCTGGATTCACCACCTTGCGGGGCTGCGACCTCTCTGTTTACTATCATGATGTGCTGCATGCGTCACAAACAGCCAGTCAGTGCACTGAAGGGATGGCAGGGGGGGTAGGGGGGTGGGTGGGAAGGTGGGGGGGGGATTGTGAGTTGTGAGCACAAGAGGAAGAAGCGACATGATTGGTTATTACCGAGCAGTGAGAGAAGATGCCATTGGCTACCGTACCTCAAGGAAATGAGGAGAGCAGGAGAGCAGAAGAGGGCGGCACAGGGAGGGAGAGCAGAATAGAGAGTGAAGAGAGAAAGGGGAATGTTATTTCCCGTGGAGACTGCCCCCAAAGTCTCCCTGTCCTTTAAATAGTCACACAAATACAAAAAAAAGAAAAAAGAAAGAAAAGATCACACACAGACACACATTTTCAGATGCCTCTACTTTTGGCAATTCATCTGAATGTACATTAACACATATATGTAAACTGAGTCTAGACACATATATGCTGACAAATGGAGACACGGTGAATTTGTCAGACTTATAGGAAACCACTCTTGCACGCACATTTTTCTCCTCTTTTTTTAATGAAGACAGCAGCGGTGCTTCCTGTGACACATGGTGGAGGTCTAAATCTCCCTAATGACGCCTCAGTATGCAGCCTCTGCTCACGTGCGTTTCCACGTCTCCCTTGTTGGCCATGAAATCAGCCCCACACAGCAGCCATTCTGCCTCATAAAACATAGTATGGAGGATGCTGATTCAGTTTTTTTTTTTTTAGCCCCGAATGGAAAAGAAATAAACAACACAGAGGCACTGAGGGGATGTTGTGAGAGTCTTGGACCAGGAAGCAGTGCATTGAGAGCATCTTTTCCGTGCGACTGCCTGCAACATGTTCCTCCTTTAGCCCCGCTGTGACCTTGCCTAAAAGGTTCCCCTGCTGGGAAGAACAGTTTTTTTTTTTTTTGCCTGCAGTGAGATTGCAGAGAGTACATGTGTCTATGTGAGAGAGTGCGTTTAAGACCCTTGAGACTAGCGTTTGATGGCTCAGTGGCTTATGACATCCACAGCTCTTTCTTGAATATCTTCTTTGGGTTTATTCCCTATATCTCTCTCCTCTCTCTCTGTCTCTTTGCTCTTCAGTGGCGCCGCCCTGCTGCAGGGATTTACAGCTACATGGAGGGTAATGAGTCGCAGTGTGTTCATTTCTCACACTGCAGTTCCACCAGAGACTCAATGCAAACATCTCCAACATCCCTTTTTTTTTTTATTTTACCATGAATGAATCTACACTTAGTCTCTGGATAATGAGCTGCGAATATTTCACTCCGCTGCACCTCGGAACTGGCTTTGTTTTTGTTTTTTGAGGTTTATTAAAAACAAACACTGCATTGATAAAAAAAAAAAGCCATTTTGAGTGACAGCAGAAACATAAGCCTCCCACATTCTCTCCCTCTCCCATCCTTAAGTCTCTTTCTTTTCTCTCCCTCCTTCCTCGCTGCTCCACAATCGTCTCTAATAAGCCATTTCCAGCGGATTAAGGCAGAGGGATAGATGAGTAAAAGAAGAAGAAAAATCACATTACAAACACTGCCCGGCAGAGTCCATAACATCTTCGGAGGCAGGGTGTATTTCTCATGCGGTCCCTCATCCCGGCACATCCTTTGGGTATTTTAGCAGACTTCTGGCAGCAATATATGGGGTAAACTCGAGTAGGATTCTACCATAATCCCAGTGGAAGACTACATTTATATGGCATGGTGGCATTTTTCACAGTAATGACTCTACTTGTGTGTTAAGCGACAGGCACTTTGAGTGTGGAGCCTCGCTGCAGAAAGCTATTATGGCTCAATCTTGTGATATGCGGTTGAAGTGTGAAGGTTTTCAGCTGATAGTATCGGGACTCTGAAATGAATTCATTTGAATGCTGGATGGCTTTGCATTCACCCTTGAATAAGTTACACACACACACACACACACAACACCACCTAAACCTCAACTCCTCAACATATTTTTCTTTTTTTTTTTGCACTGCAGGCATCAGACCAGAAGAAATGCTAAATTTCAAGCTGCTTGGATATCATCACCGAGCACGACTGTGGCGAGGAACTTCCTCCCTCTCACCTCTCCTCTCAGCGATCTGCAGGTAGCCGGTAGACAGGTACTGCTCCATGTCTTGCTGAAAGGCCTCCTCAAAGAACTTCTGCCTTTCTTTCAGCTTGACCTGGGGCGGTGGGACTCCTCCCTGTTCTGCACCAGGGACCCTCTGTGCGTGCTCTGCATCCAGCTCCACTAGAAACACAAGAGAATGAAGTTTTTCAAAGTGAGACTTTTACAAAATAGCAGAGCTGTGGGCACAAATTATGCTCATAAAGTCAAGGCAAATGATATAATGCAGTATAATTGTAGTTACAAGTAGAAAAGAGTCTGTGTTCTGGTTCGGTAATGTCTGTTATGTAATCAAAGTGAATATAAAGTTTGCTAACATTAGTCACAAGAAGCCGAAAAAAATACAAATCTAGATAACTGCCAATATCTGTGTGTAGATTTCTCAGTCATCCAAGTCTCTGTAATCCTAGGAGCTTCAGCAGAAAGCAGGTGGATGACATTTCACCTCTCCAACTCGATGCTTCCTCAGCTCTGACTGTTGGAGAGTCCCAAATGGTTCGACTGGTTCATTAACAGCAAGACTCACATGTCTCTAGGTGTGAGTAGTTGTGAATCTGCCAGGTGAGTGGTGAGGTGTTCTGCATCTTAACTACAAAGGACACTCATTTGAAGACAACAACGTACAGATTCTGACCAGGCAGGACAGACGCTTTGAGAGAAGGGAAAGACTGGAAAGACCATCCCTCAACAGAGGTGGAGGTCTGAGGCATCACCTCTCACCTGTTTAGAATTCAGTCTTGAGAACTCTCCCCAGGTAGATGAAACCACATCCACACCACAAAAGACCATAACGAACCCCATTGTGGCAGAGGGAGTACTTCTGACTCGCATAATGAGGGGGAGGAGCAACAAACCGCCAATTGAAACCAAAACTCAGGTGTTAATGGCTCCTTAAGGATATAAAGGATATAAATATCTGGAACTCCCAACTAGTCAGTCAGAGCTGATGAAGCCTCTTGGGTGAGAGGTGAAACGTCTTCAAGGAACTCAAGCAAATCCAGTTGCTACGATTAATCTACCAGAATTCATCCCCCTTCTGTTCAGAGGAGGTTGATCCAGTGTAGCATAGAAAGCCTCCTGAAGTTCCTTCTGAAACCATCAGTCTTCTCTTTTCAGAATGTTAATGGACCATTAGCAATGTAATGTCACGGTGGCCAAATATACCTGGGAGTCCTCATAAGTGTGTTTCTATTGAAGCTTTTAGAACCACCAGAAGAGCTGCTGTCCACTTACTTTCCCAGAAATCTGCTCGAAAATGTTTCACTGACAGCAACTGGCAATTTAGAAAAGGGGGGAAAAAAGCATCCACTGACTTCTGTGAAAGAAATTGTGATCTTATTTTAATGACTGGTCAGACTGGAGGAAGCCCAACTCATCCTCCACAAGCTGAGGTCAGTCTTCACTGAAGCAGAACGATGAGGAGCTTGGTGCACCTGAAGCATTCACACACATTCTCCAAATCACCGCACCGTCTGTAACACAATACTCTGTCTCCTGTGGGTTGCACAGGAGGGACCACACTCAGAGAAGTCTCACACATAAAAACCCCAGCGCTGCTCACACGTCAGTAAACCAAGATGCATCCCCTGCTGTCTGTATCCTCAGTGGGACATCAAAGGGAAGGTTCTGGAGGAAAATCTATCACTGCTGCCAGAGAGAACAATGGACTGCTGCACGTTTAACAGAGTTTACGTATATTAGGGTTTAGATGAAAACGGTCTGTCTTATACAATTTAAAATAAATCAGTTATGTTATGGAAGTTTTTTTTATATTAATTTCACAGATTTTTCTGCATTTATAAATGACAATAAAACACTAACATAATAACCTAAATAAGATGCAAATGTACATGTTTAATGTAATATTAGATTAAAAATCAGAATTAATCATAAAATAAACATTTTTTAAAAGATTTTTTTTCATAAAAAAAACTTAAAATACATTAGCAAATTCATAATAATTTACTTTTAATTTAATAGGTGACACTTTTAAATTCAACTTTATTTACTGTAAACATATGTATATACATAAAACGTTAAAGAAGCCACATGATACACATATTAAACACATAATCTTGTGCAAATTTGAGGCCAATAAAAGTATTTTAACTATAGAAAATTATATTTTATGAGATAGTAATTTTCAGATATTTTACATTAGTTTTGGTGCCTTAGATGCCAGAATATTGTCTTTTTTATTTTATATTTTTCCCCCAACACTTAATGCTTACAGGGGTTTTCCTTCATAGAGGAATTTTCTGATGAGATTTTTTTCTTTTATTTTTTTTACATTTCAAGCAGAAGAGGCATTTTTGTTTATCAAATGGTCCGAAATGACAGAAAAAAAGCATTTTTTTTTTTTGTTAAATAACATAACACTGTAAGTTAACTGTCTTTACTGTGCAGATGGATGTGAGTTGTCACCCCACAAAGTCATAATCTGAGGAAGGAAACCCCTGGTTTAGCTTTCTGATTGGTCCATGTACATTTTGGGGTCTCCACAAGTAAAGTCATTATATTTTAGTATCAAGAATAAGGCAAGTGTAAGGGTTAGGTTTAGACAACTAGTCATAAGTACGACTTTGGGTTCGTAAGTCTCCAGGAAACAAATGTAAATGAATGTAATGTCCTCTGAAGTGCTGGAGACACGACTGTGTGTTTGTTTGTGTGAGTGGGCACTGCTGCAGCCTGGAGTCTCGGACAGGCTGTCTCTTTAGCTCTCTCGTCTCCCCCTGGTAGATGACAGCATTATATAAATCCGCCCACTAACTACGGAGGCAAGAGCCAGGTCACTACATAAAATGTCTGATGTGACCCTTATCTTCATCCTGGTTTAACATGCACAAAAAAGCCCCATCCCATTTAGGGACTGATGGGTTAAAAAAAGATGCCTTGAATTTACTCCTGTTCATTTTCTCCATTACTCCACAACAAGATCAATCGATAATGCTGCAGTCTCTCTTCCACTGCCCAAAGCTCGCTGTGTAAGTCTATAATGAATAACTAAAGCCCAGCTTTTGCCACACTGGCAATTACGAGTTGATTTGCAGGATTTCATGTTACCAAGGAAGCCCTTGAGAGCTGCACATTGCGACGTGTACTTTTATATATATATTATTCTCCCCAGGCAGCCTCCCTACTGTTAGGATCAGGGATTGGACACCTTCACACAGGCCAGAGTCCAGATAAAAGCATCAGCAGATGGACACACACACACACACACACACAAAAGAACAATGAGATCCCAGCAGAGCTCACACACATCGACGGTCCTCAGAGACTTGGAAAAGAATAGCTCCGTCTCTCTCCCTGTCATTCCTCACTCGGCCTCCAATCTATCTCATTTATCTGATGACTCGTCTTTGTCCCATTACTCCCTCATCTTTCCCCCTCCTGACTCGGTCCTTCCCTTTGCTGCTGACTGTCGTGTAAGTGTGTTTGTGTGTGGGGATGTCTTGTAGAGACTGCTCTATTAGATTACGGGGCCTCGGGGAAGCTTTGTTAAGTTTGTCAAGCATTGTGTAGGGTAGGGGACTGAGGGAGAAGCAGGGCAATGTGTTTAGTTATAATTAGGGCTTGTGGACAGACAGCATCACCGACAGAGCTGGATCCTGTTTTTTTCTCCCTGTAATCTAATTCTCATTCCATTATTAGCCTGCACTGACTATTTATTTACATCATCTATGTACCTACTGACTGGATGCATCCATCTGTTAGTCTGTCTGCCAGTCTCAACCTTGTCTTCCTTTTTTTTCTCTCTCCATCAAACATACATACAAACAAACACTTTTGAGAGTTGCCAAGAGGACGACATGATTCCTAAATGAGTCAAATATATAAAATGTGAACGAAAATCCGGCGGTGTCTAATACATCCCAAGTGACACACTTACAAAATAAAATTAAAAAAATAATAATAAATTGTTAACCTAAGAAAGACATTAAGCATAGATATGGATGGTTTATTCCCCTGAAACGCTCACATGAATATCATCTTCTATGTTTAATGGTAAGCTTTCTGGGATTCTTTATAACATAAAACCACTTTACGTATAATTTCTTTCTTATTAGTCTTTTCTTTCCATTTTGTCTCTTCCCCTTTATCTTCCTGGTCTTTTCATCATCGTTATCATCGATCAGACAACAATGTCTTGCAATGTGCTGTCCTCTAGCTACAGGGGATATTTTTTAGCTTGGACTAATTTAGCCTACAGGGTTAAGTTTGTGCTGATGAATTTATAGCAAGAGCATATATAATACAGCAAATACATGTAGTAAGAGTGAATATATTTATACAGACATAGCATCCGATTTACATAAGTGCACATGTAGAGTTGTAACTGCCTCAAAAACAAGTGATGTACGACAACGAACGCATGCTCACAAAGACGTACACATCTGGGGATGATTCACAGGAGCTAAGTCAGTTGCATTATGTTAGTCACAGCAGATGATGTCAAATGAAAGAACATCATTTGATTCAATTAAAAAGACACATGATTCCTAATTGGGAAGCATAGCTGAGCCGCCTCCTCTGAAATGAACACCCAGAGCAGTTTCCTTCATGAGACTAAACTGAAGCACGAATAAAGGCCGCTAATTCCTTAATAATAAACTTACTATGACAGCTCATGATAGAACAGATGAATTGTAAAACGTCATACTACCTGAGCTTGTCTTTGCCGAGTTACGTGACGTGTCTGTTCCAACAATCATTGTGCTCAGCTCGTAACCACACACACCCGCAGTTGTCTGCTGTCTTTCTCAACTCAGACAGGGGAAACAATAATGACGTAAATCACATAAAACAGTCTTAGTTCCTCTTGTACAGATAGCTATTTGTGCAGACGACACAAGACTTTTAACACCATATCTGCTCGGCGGTAGAGAAACATCTGCTACGAGTTCTATGAATGCAGGAAGCAGAACAGGAAAGGAGGCTGGCGTGTGTTTTGTGGGTGCGTGGGTGATCATGCACCTGTTTGTATTGTTTTATGCAGCCACTTTTATTGACGATAAAAAGGCAAAGAACTATTTACCTGCTTTGCCATTTCGTCGCTCTCGTAAAGCTGCAGTCTGCGTTTTATTTGCTTTAAGTTTGTGTGAGTTGTATCTGTGGATGTGTTTTTACATGTAAACGTGCTTCCATATATAGAAGCGCAGAGACCAAACCTCACTAGCTTTGCCCTTCATTTGTAGCTATAGTGTGAGAAGTCGCTCCAAACCGTCTGCAGGTGAAAGCAAAGAGGAAGCACGCCATCAAGGGCAATTCAAACCTTCAGGATCAACTCCAGCTTTAGATTTGACAAACTTGAGTCATTTTCTCACATCTTGGCTCGCGCGGCAAAATGCAAATCTTTGTGTTGAAGCGTTCGTCGTACAAACTTGGCCACCACGTCTCTTTTGTGTGGGCAACGCTAAACTGAGCTCACATTTCATCAAGGACATTTGAGAGTCCTTTTCAGCAGGATTTTCGAAGCAGTAAACTCAATTAGAGCCCTTTCACATTTCTTGTTTGGTAAGATTCCTTAGGTTTAAAGAATATTTAGTCAGAGCGCTAACAGGCTCCATTTAAGTGGCTGCGGCAGCAATGATAAGTAACACTGACGGACCTCTTTTCAAATGGAAATATATCTTTTTATAGAATAAGTCATCAGCAGCCAATTCAAGTCACCGCTGAGCCACTCATTTACACTTTGTAGTGCGGTTCACATATCAGGTGCCGCTATAGGCTGTGCCAGTGGAGAGAAGGTTGTGTTTGAAGCCTGGATGGACGAATGGATGGATGGACGGATAAACAGTTGAAAGTGTCAGTGGACTTGCTGGCCTTTAATTTCTGCCAAAGGCCTGGGACTAGAGCCACCGTTTGTTTACCTGTGTGCGCAGACAGTATTAATTGTGCGAGCCTGAGGCTATTTTCAGGGTAATTTCACTACATTTACTTTTTAAGCTCTTATCTTGGTCATTACAGGGACCACTCATACGTGCTGTATCTTATTTGCTTTTTTTCAGAGCAGCCTCTGCTATCCAGACCTCCTGAAATTTGAAATGATAATGCTTGCAGATTTAATATATTGTCCCTTATATCAAGGATTGTCTGTTTTTTTTTACTATGAAATTGTTTTAAAAGGTATCTCACCATAAGATGCAGGTACTTGAGACATCTTTTGACATTTGTATAGCGGAGACGACCTGGAGTCTGGTAAGTCAGAACCATGATGAGATACTGAAATACTGTATGACTGCTGTACCAAATTGGCAGAAATACCGTAAACTCCAGACTATAAGCCACTACTTTTTTCACACACTTTGAACACTGCGGCTTAAACAATGATGCGACTAATTTATGGATTTTTCCGATTTTTCCGAATTTGCCTCGAGACAAAAGTGACATTGAGAGTGACAACGAAAGAGAGACTGAGGAAGTGTGTGACGAAGTAATTCTGAGGCTGTTCAATTCCGACACTGAAGAAGACGACTTTAGTGGTTTTAGTGCGCAGGAGGAAGATGAAGATAGCGATCAATGACTTTTCCTGGTAGGCTGCTGTATTTTTTTAACCAGCTGTGTTACAGGCACTGTTCGGAAAAAAGCATTTAGAGTACATATATGTGTATGTTACCGGTACATATTTAATTAAAAGAATCTTTCTGTGTAAATATCTCATGTTACAACGTGGACACCTGCAGCTTATAGACAAGTGCAGCCTGCATATGTACAAAACTTGTTTTCTTTTTAAAGTTAGTGGGTGCGGCTTATATTCAGGTGCGTTCAATAGTCCGGAAATTACGGTACTTGTCATTATTATTTGACATGACCACATCCAGCAGCCTACTTGCACCACAATTTCAAATGAGTGTCCCCTAAAGGCTACTTTTACTCGGGCCTTCCACAGCCCTCCTGCACACAGGCTCGTCTTTCGACTTCCACTTCTGAATCCCCGCAAAAGTGCAAATCCATTACTATGTGTTTATTTTCACACAAAGTGGGATGTAATATCAGACCTGTGTTGGATACAATGCAGATATTTGCTGTGACTGCAAAACCAGATTTGGTGCACAGAGAAACAACGAGTATTAGCAGAAATTGTCGGCTCTTGTGTTTGTTTTGGTATGCGATAGGCTTACATTATGACACAATGGGGACTTTGTGACTTATTCTACGGAGCAGCAGGAATGTGAAAATGGGTGAAGAAATTAGTAAAGATATCACTACTTGAGGTGTGATATTAACACATCACTGGAGTTCAAGAAACCAGAGCAATGGGTGTGGATTGTATGCAGGTTGTAACTATGATACGTGTGGTGTAAATACTTTTTTTCAGCTTTTTCCCCTTTTTTTAAAATCACCTACATTAAGTTGGACACAACAAGTCAAGTCATGCGGTTTCATTTGACATGCGCTACGCCTGACTGCAAAAAAAAATACTCCAAGCAAGAAGAGGAGATGCAAATATGAACACAAAGTGTGTTAATGAGGCTCTAAGGGCTCAACTCCTCCCAATTATCCTCGGATGCCTGTATATGTATTTGTAAAGTGGGATGAAAAGAGCCAGAGAGAGTAAATGTGAGTGGCAGTGAGATGCAGGATGTGTGGACAGTAAATGTTTTCATCTCTGTGTTCCATCTTTTCTTGTAAAAACAGATGACAGGAGAACAGGGACACGGCCACAGGGCATGACCTTCAAATCCACGCTGGAGAACATTTGAGACACTCTGAAAGGCTGACGTGAGGCCAAGGTCTGAAAAACAGTTTCATAAATAAATCCAATGAAAGATGTCAGAGACAAAAAATAAAATAAAATCTCTGCATTTGTAATTATTTTTAATTTGTCACAACAAAGTGTGTGTGGCATCTTTTCAAGCATGGATGAAGCTCTTAATATCTATTCTTTATGAGCCCAAATGATCCTTTTTTTTTTTCTCTCCTATTTTGATCAGCGCTCAAACAATCCATCCACCATCTCATTATAGCTGTTTCATACACTTTACATCACAACGACTCGCTAAACAGATCAAACGTTCGATATCTGATATAAAATCCCCCCCTGTTCCATCTGTCACTTTAAATTAGCTGTCTGGTCTCAGACGGATTTGTTTCTGTTTGCTTATAAAGGCCTAATATTTCATTCTGAGACAGCAGCATGCAGCCTGAAGACCACGAGGCAGGGCTGACAGTAGAGACAGCCACTGCCTCTTCTTCTCCTTCTTCTTCTTCTCCTTCTTAAGCCCTGTTCACTCAGCCGTGATATTTTTAGATTCTGTCCGCCTCGCTATATCTCGCAAGTGCTCAGGTTTCCGCTAAAGGCAGCCCCAGTGTTGTAAATAACATAATCACTTCATTCTCTCTCCTGCACGCGTACACACCCATCAAAATGCCAAACAAATAGGCATGATACAGAAACTGTGCATTCCAGATGGACTGAATGAACTCCATTGTGTATGTAATAGAAAAACACTCGAGCATGCACCACTGACCAGGCGCATTACAAACAAACAAACAAAGAGTGAGTCATTATTGTGGCTGAAGTGTGACTTTACTGTGAATTTTCTCGAATAAATCATCCGCTCATTTGTCCGCGCTCCTAAGCGGTGTTACGTAACCGCTTTATTGGCCGCTGATCGTCTGAGTTACTTTGTTGGATGAGCCTGACAATGAGTTCTTTCATCTTCAAACAGATCATCCTCACATTTTGTAACTCGCCAGCACACGGTGGCCGTTCACCGCCCCTACCTCCCCCCACATCTACGCGGGAGTATCAGTCTCGTTTCTACAGGTCTATCTCCTCTTTCCTGTCAGTAACACCGGTTTGCTGTCACTCTGTTAAACGGCAGCAGTGGCAGCTTCATGAGCTTTCTGTCCGGTCTCTGCAGGCTGCAATACATCAGCTGCTGCCTTCACACACTCGCTCAACCGCAGACGCCTGTGAAGCTACGAGGCGCCTTTGTGCTGTTTATTTTACAAAAATAACATGGTGTCATCATGATTAAATTATCAGAGCTCAAGGACGACAAAACCATTATGCTATTATATGTGTTGGGCTGCCTTGCACATTGCTAGCACATTTTAAATCTAATTTTAAGCCTCCCACAGCCTTCAATCATTTCAGTGTTATTCCTGAATAAATTGTTTTCTTAAAGAACTATTGCCTTGGGGATCCAGGATTTAAAATTGCGACTACAACTCTTTGGCTTTCTCTGTTCAATAGGGTGACATTTTCAGGAACAAACCCGTTATAGTAGCTTTCTGCAATATTAAAAGGTTTTGTCAATGTGTTGCACAGTAGCTGCTGGCTTTACTTTGTTCCAATTTACGGGGAAACATGAAACCTATCTGGACTTTAATGTAAGTTTCCGACTGAAATCGTGTGTAAACAAAAAGAAGACTGATGGCTGCGGCTCCTATTATCATTCAGTTCAATACAATTAGAGTATAATATGATTTAGAATATGTGGCTGCTGTGGTACATTAACATTTGTATTCTTTACTATGTGTGTATTGCTGCAATTTGTAAAACTGTTTCGCATGTGTGTTTTAAACAGCAGCACTGATGATACAGCAGAGGGCTGTGTTGTCGACAGAGCTGCACGACCCACAATATGAGTGTCAAACAGAGGTACCACACGGGTTTCATGCTTTCCTTGACCTTACAACAACAGAGGGTAATTGATTTTTTTTTTGTGGTTTGTGTTTTTTCTTCCCAACAGTGTCAACAGCAAAGAATGTATTTTGATGTACAGTCGTGACTCGATAATCCGACACTAAATGTAAAACCTTCTTTTATGTCTGATAGCAAGGCTGTCGGATTGTCAGGACAGAGGTCAA